AACATCGTACATTAGCTGTGCTACTGAATAAAAATAAAGAGATTTGATTGGTAAAATTTCATGTTCAATGAATATTGGTATTGCACTTTTAATTGATTTCACGTGTTTCTGGTTCTTCTCGTCAAGAATATGGAACTCATATGATCCTATTTCAATGTTCTTCAATGTATTCAAGGAAACCATTTCCATGTAGGGATGTCCTATCGCCTTCGGCGATAACAACGCTTATTAAAATAGGTGTATATCAATTGTAATTAATTTCAAGTAGATGGACTCATTTGTATATTCGTATATATTTGTATATTGTCAAGTGTTGCTCAAATGAATGACATTTGTCTGAAATGGGAATCATTGCCTCCAAAAGGAAAAGACCGAATGAATCTTGCCCCTGAAGGCCATTGGATGCGAAAATCCCAATCGCTGTCAATCTTCAGGCACGAATATCTCAGTTTATACCAACGCCAAGACTAGATTATTCCATAGGTTTTGCAAGTACAGACCTATCATGCACTTGCTGCATGTAAAGATCTCATTTTCCAGCATTCCATTGGATTGAGTGATCAGAGACTTATCGCAATTGATGTTATTTAATCTCGAGTGTATTTAAGTAGCCACTCCATTTTATGATAGATCCTTTTTTCAGATTTGTGCATTCAACTACTCTACTACCACTGTCTACTGAAGCTCGTCCATAAAATAGAATAAATAATTATCATTAATCCTACTTTAGACAATTTCACTATGACCTACAATGCACTTCGTTCTTGGAATGCACTATTTAGTATGCAGTATTCAGTATTCAACCTTGAAATAGCTGTATACGTGTAGACGGGAAAACGCATCAAAAGCGCTACGTGTTTTGAAATTTGAATTTAAAAAACCACTTTCAAAAATATCCGGGGCCTTTTTTATTTAACCTATAAATCAGGATTAGAGATGGGTTCTAGAATAGGTCGATCGGTAACATCTGGTAGGATTTGAAGTATAATACCCCTATCATGCCAGCGAATATTTTGAGGTATCATAAGTAGAAGTTATTATATCTAGGATAAGGAAAGCAAGTCTCATGGTAATGCGCCTTAGCTCAGCTTACTAACCTGAATTTGGAGGCTTATACCAGGATTTTAGCACAACCATTTACGGAATGAGGGTCTCGGTGTAGCCAAAACATACATATGATCTTCAGTTTTTCTTATCCATTTAATTATCAACGAAAATGTTCGAATGACCGTGAAAAACTCGCAGTACGGACGTGTCCTGCCTAATGGTGACTGTACCGTGTCTGAGTATTTTCACTGGATAATGATCTCGTGTCTTGTGATTGGTTGTAACCATGCCGACGCCTATGTGATTATTAAGAAATATAAATTGAATGAGAACTGCTACCATTTTCATGCATCTTTTATGTGGGGTCTGCAGCCAGACCACCTAGTATCTGTCTTTTGATATGGTTTATAATTTGTAGTGTTGCCTCAACCAGGATTATATGCCCAATCTTAAGCTCATTTATCTAATTCAATTCAGTAATCGCAGTTAACCTTTGTACTACTCGCTTATATGAATGCACTTATCTTCTAAAGAATATCAAGTCTCGGAAAATGCGAGCACAGTCTAGTCGAAACTTAAGGCGAGATTACACGGAGCAATTTCCTCTGCAACTTGTTTTGCAACAGCGTTGCGACGCAAGTCGCAAGCAAGTCGCAAGAGTGTTTACACGGTAACACGGTAATACAGTAACGCAACCGTCGCCAAAGGTAGAGACGAATTCTACTTTTTGCAAACGATTGCTGCCTTGTCCCGCAAAATTTTTCAAATTGCGCTGTAGGTTACGTAACACGCTGTTGTGCTCCTTGCAACTTGTGTCCTAACGCCGTTGCAAGACAAGTTACAGAGAAAATTGGTCCGTGCAATCGCGCCTTCAGATCCGTGAAGGTGTGGGTAACAGTAATAGTGGCAGGCGTGTAGACAAACAAAGGGTCTTGCTTTTGGCTTTAAATACTTGAAGTGACAGGGCTTGGATCAAATGTCAAACGATGCTAATGGGGAATGTTTTGTCAAATGCCACCAAAATCGGGCGATGACGTAACGTTGAACAGTGGAAGGCAAGCTGATTTTGACATCAATTTAACAATCACTTTTTCTATCGGTTTTTAGAACTTCCACATCCTGGGGACTGCGATTTTGACAGCAGCTTTTGCAACTGGACAAACACAGTGGACGATGAATTTGATTGGACGAGACTGAGTGGACGCACGGCCAGTAGTAACACTGGACCCTCTAGTGACGTCACAGGGAGGGGTAAGATTTTTGGAATGATGATATCTAGAATGCGTTGATTTATGTATTTGCATCAAAGCGAGACGAACTGTGAGCTGGCAATGATAGAGACCTCTTTTTAACACCTTGGACAATTATTCACGTCTCTATCATTGCAAGCTCACCGTTCGTCTCACTTCGATGCAAAGGCACCGCTACCTTTCAAGATAGCGCAGGCAACTGTGAAAAGCACTATTTTCCATAGCGTGTGAACTGGACATGGTACTGCTATTATATACCTCTTCCAAAAAAGGTTTTCATCACCAAAGGCGATAGGTGAAAAGCGCTAGGAGATATAGGTCATTCCAAGATCCAAGGATAGCTGTAATGACTTGTGTTTCTGCTTCTTATTCTCGCCAAGAACATGGACGTTCGTTGGTGTGGAGACTGATTCAATCAATGCTTTTCTTGTATTTCCATATCGAAATGGCCCATCGCCTTTGGCGATGACAACGTTTTTTGAAATAGTATAGGTGTATATTTGCAGAAGAATTTACAGTGCATTTGTCATTACCAGGCTCCCTCGAGGTCACAACAATTGTTCAAACAAGCTTTTATTTATTATTTGATTTAAAGGATGTTCAAGGATGCGACATTCAGATAAACATCCTTGGTCTTGATAAATTTTAATATCGTCCATGCTCATCGCTAGAACGTTTTTTCAATAGTTGTAAATTCGCACAAAATCATTCTGTAGTAATAATATTCAATTCGTCTTTATCAGGATATTATGCTTATATCGAAGCATCTTGGCCTCGTCGGCCAGGTCACGTTGCCCGTCTTATCAGTCCAGTCACGGAAGGCGTTCAGTGCATGCGATTCTATTACAACATGTTTGGTCGATATATGGGAGACTTGCAGATCTTTATTAAAGAAAACAGCTCTATGGTATTCCTTTGGGGTCGCTACAAAAATCAAGGGCGTGGCTGGCACTCAACAAATGTGACGGTGTATGGAGAAAGCTACAGGGTATTGGAACTATTGGTTAAGTGCGTGCCCCATTTTCCCTCTCCTCCTCTCCTCTTGCACCTCCTCCTCCTCTTCACTCTTCCTCCTTCTCCTTCTCCTCCTCCCCCTCCTCCTCCTCCTCCTCCTCCTTCTTCCCTCTTCCTCCTTCTTCCCTCCTCCTCCTCTTTCTTTCCTCCTCGCTCCTCCTCTCTTCCCCTCTTCCTCTCCTCTCCTCCCTCTTTCCCCTCCTCCCTCCCTTTCTTCACCAGATGCCTTCTTTCGCCTCATCTCCTTCCTCATCCCGCCTCATGCAACAGATAAAGTTGCACAAGGTAGCCATGGTTGTTTCTTACTGTTGTAGATTGTGTTTTTCGCTCGTGTTGGGAAATCCTACACAGGAGATTTGGCCATCGATAACATCACCTTTGTCAGTGGAACCTGCGATGGAAAACCTTTGTTTTATCAAGAAAAAGTGAAAGATGTTGCGGTCCAACTAGCAGAAGGAGAACCTGGTAACTATAGGGACGAACTATTCTCCACAAATTACTAACACGAAAACAACAGCACCACAACTTCAAACTAACAATAGCAACACAACCAGTAGTGACAACAACAACACGATAACAAGACAAACGTCACCACAAATTCAACGAAAATAAGAACACGACCAGCATTACAACAGCACAACACGACTGGACATGGCAGCAAATACTGCAACAACATTCAGACAACAACACGCCGTCTTTTCACAAACCGCCCTCCTCACCAGGACAATCGCTCATGACTCTCCTACGACCAAAAACATGATGAAAGGAAACACTGTTATCATCTTGTCTCATCGTACGTGTGATACCCATGTTTATGGGTAGCATGGGTGGCGTCCGCGGCTAACGCTAACGCGAGGTCGGGTCGCTGATTCGAGCCCTGCGGTCGTCACATTTCAATTGAGTTTCTTTGATGTGTTGTTCTCTCCTATGCTACGGGGGTTTTCTCCGGGTTCTCCGGTTTCCTCCCTCCGTAAAAAGCAACATGTGAGTTGAGCGTCGTGTGCATAGAACACTGAATGTAGTGGTAGTGTGTGTGAGCGAAAAGTGTCCCCAATTAGTGAGAAAGCGCTAGAACGACTTGACACTTAAATAAAGATATTCATCGGCCTTTCTATCTTTCTATTAATTTTACCCTTCTAGGGACTTGTAACTTCGATGGAGGATTTTGCGAGTGGATTAACGTACCCATTGGGGATAATTTTGATTGGACACTACATCGAGGAAGAACAGGAACTGGTGACACTGGACCACTATACGACCATGCAGGAAATAATGGTGAGCCAATCAAAACAAGTGTACAGGGTGACCAGTGGTGTAGCCAGGATTTAACGATGACATAAAATTATTTTTAAATTTGAAAGACTGTGATGTCATAGTAGGAGTTATTACATATACAAAACTCTTCTGGGGTAGTAAAACATCCTGTATGAAACATCTTAGTCTTACTAGGCTTTTTGAAAAGTTATTGCAAATTTGTTTTCTCATAATAGTAAGTTTTTCAATTTACAAATGATGATAAATAAACTCAAATGACACTCATTGATAAATTGGGGAAAAAATATACCTTGATATCTCTAAGATGCATCACTCAAATCATATAAAAATATTTTACTATCCAACAAAGTCACTTCGTTCATAAAATCAATACTGAAAATTTTGAATTAGGGTTCATGCACCTTTCTTATAATGGCTGACAAGTGCATGAAAACGAGGTCGCCCATTCATTAGTTTACAATACAAAATATATAAGCCTATGAAATGCATTTATAGAAGAAAAGTATAGAAATTGACTTTTTGTTTTGACCTGAATTCGCGCTATCAATGCACCTTTATTTTGAATGAGCAGCCTTGTTCAGCCTTGCAAGATGACTTGGTGACTTCGTTTTCGTGCGCTCGTCAATCATTATGAGACGGCTATATAAAATATCTTTGTCTTTTTCATCAGGATATTACCTGTACATAGAGGCCTCGACCCCCCGATTGAGTAGACACAGCGCCCAGCTTCTTAGTCCTCGTTTATGCGGTACAATGTGCATGCATTTCTATTACCACATGTATGGTTCGGACATGGGTGAGCTTAATATCTACCAGAGGCGTGGTCTTCGTACGGACGATAGGATCTGGGGAGCGAGAGGTGAACAGGGTGATGTGTGGCATGAAACACTCATTGATATATCTGGCAACTGCTACCAAGTAGGTTTCTCTGAAAATGTTCTTCATGTTCTCTCACGATTGACCTTACTCGCGCGGCAGTCATGTTGACTGGATTCCTTCATGGTCTCTTGGTGCTAGAAAATAAATCTTTCGCGGATTTAACAATTAAGGTTTTTATTCTCATGAGTAAGGCAAAGTGCCTTTTTATTGCCTTGTTAATAATACGAGGAACTTTTGTTTATATTGCAAAGGTTGCCTGATGTTTTGTTCTTCCCAAATGCATCTAGAAGCGAAAAGCCATCAACCCTGATGTTTGACTAAAGGCTTAGCGAGGTCTCGATCATAGGGAGAGCAATGTACCATTTTCCCGCCAATACACGCGCGCACGCGTTTCATCTTTAGAGTTTCCCGCCATATCGACAGGTTCAGTCAAACCTTTTTTTGAAGGGAGTTTGTCGCTACGCCACAGTATTTACCCATTCATAGTCTTATCAGATACCTATAAAATAAATATAAAGAGAATCGGCCGATCCTTTACTTTTAGCTGTACTTAGGTTTTTTTTTTTCCAACTCTTATTTGTTTGTTGTTTTTATTGTACGCTTTTAGATAGTGATAGAAGGTATCATAGGTAATGGCTACCTAGGTGATGCTGCTATAGATGACGTTGTAGTTACTAAAGGCAGCTGCTGTGCCAAAAGACACTTGAATTTTGATGTCAAAAAAGAAGGTATGGCATTCAATTACTGATCAGTTTTCGTGTTCGATTCATGAGTTGTCCATGCCCTGACTTTAACCAGCCCAGATGTTGTTTCAGAGTTCGATCTGAGCTTTAGCCATGACTTAGATCATCCCGGTAGTGGTTGTTTCAGTGTTCGATAACATTTTTCCATTTGTCTCTTCGGCTTTATGGTCTTTACAGAGATCAGCTGTAGCGTGACAGGATTTACATAGTATTTTATGTGTATTATCTACAGGTAATTGTTCGTTTGACAGTGGTTTTTGTAAATGGAAAAACCTCAAAGAAGATGATTTCAATTGGAGCCTGATAGACAAAGAGACACCCAGCACAAAGACTGGTCCAGACGGTCCGTTCAACAGCATTGGTGAGTAGAATCAGCCAACAGAAGAGAATGAGTAACAAATGCACATTTCTCAAATTCGCTTGGTGACCACAAAACAATGATTCCAAGTCAGCGTTGGACTTATGTTATGATATATARTAAAAAGAAAATACAGTAAATGTACAAACACACAAGTCCTAAATCTAGAGCCATTGTTGTATAGTCACTCAAGCAAATTCGGGAAAGGTCTTTTAGAAAAGGATTCGTGTCAATGGTATAGAGCGCCAGCCGCCATATTGGTGTACCTTTAATAATAACTTTGTCATTAGTTTCTTTTGTTAGGTACACCAATATGGCTACCATCTCTATGGTGAGTTCACTCTCTAGGGACTGAGTGAAAGTGCTCTCTTATATTATAAGTTTCCTTAACAACTTATTATAATCTTTTTCGCGTTTTTATAAACTAACCATGGCATTTGATTCTTAGGCCAGTACGCATATGTGGAGGCTTCTGAGCCGCGCCTGAAGGAAGACCGAGCAGTCCTTGTAGGGCCTGTTATTAGCGGGTTCGTGTGCCTGAGGTTCAAGTACCACATGTATGGCCAGCACACAGGAGCATTAGCAGTATATCAACATGGTAGTGGTGTACTGAGACACCGACTGTGGGTGCGCCAAGGAAATATGGGAAATCTCTGGAGAGACGCTTATCTCAATATTGGATGCAAAGAGCCCCATTATCAGGTAAATGGTGACCAGCTGAGCGGTGAACGCGGTGCACAAGGCATGAGTAGACAAAATAAAAGGCCTAAGTATTTTTGGAGCTTGAAGGGACGAAGCAAACATGGCGGTAAAGTGAAATAGTTTTTATTCTTCCTTTCTATATTTCTGCTTTTTTTAGGCACGTATATTATATTTTAGTCAAAAGAAAACAGAAAAATACGCAAAAGTTGGGTTACTGTAGCCTGGAAATTAGGGCCGGCGGCAAAACCGCTAAACTCGCTGTTATTGGCGGAAACACACTTATAAGGTCATTGGATAAATTCCTATGAAATCAAGGAATAAAGGGGGGTGTAGCGGTAATAGTGCACTCGCCTGTGATATGTCACGTGGTGGTGTTCTCACGTGCGGAGAAATAGAGGAATGGGATGTGGTTTTAAAATACCATACCTAGTAATATTAATAATTTTTTAAATTTTATTGCTTTTAGATCGAATTTGAAGCCATCATCGGAGGATGGCGAAGTGATATCGCAATCGATGAAATTACCTTTAGTCACACCATGTGCAATACAACTATTGATGTACCAATACCGTCACCCCCTATCACTCTACCACCAACACTTTATCCACTTTGTAATGGTGAGTACACCAATGCCATCACCTCCTATCACTCTACCACCAACACTCTATCCACCTTCTAATGATGAGTACACCAATACTATCACCTCCAATCACTCTACTACACTCTCTCCACTCTGTGGTGGTGACTACACCAATACCATCACCCCCTATCACTCTACCACCAACACTCTATCCACTCTGTAATGATGAGTACACCAAATATACTATCACCTCCTATCACTCTACCACACTCTCTCCACTCTGTACTGGTGAGAACACCCTCTAACATTAGATTTGTTCAGGTGACTGTACGTTCCCGGGTTCGTTTTGTGAATGGAAGAATGATCGCGATGATCAATTTGATTGGTTGATTGGCCAAGGTAGCACTCCATCCCTGGTTACTGGTCCGAAAAGAGACGTAGATGGCAACGGTGAGTAAGTATGTTTGGTTCAAAAAATTATTTCGTATTTCAAACCGATTAGAAATTTTCCCAGACCCTCTCTTAACAGTAAGGTTTTGGCCGAGTAGGATCTGAGTAACCGAAACGAAGCCCACACTCATTTTAATTGGTCGGAGGCTAGTCAAATCGCATGCGCATGCTCTCCTATTTTTGACCTTTTTGACCACTGAACTTTCTTTGACAGAGTACTATATCTACATCGAGGCCTCGTTGTATCGCTACAAACAGCGAGCAAGTCTTGTCAGCGGTTACATGAGAGGCACCAAGTGCATGCAGTTTCATTACCATATGCATGGACGTGGAATTGGGGTCCTGACGATACAAATGATAAACACCAATAACAACGACAAGAAAACAATATGGTACCGTGCTGGCCAGCAGGGAGAGAACTGGATCCGAACATATCTAAACGTTCAGGGGACTGGGTACAAGGTAATTAAAGGCGTTTTGGTGATTAGAATTGTATTCCTTGCTCAGTAAGGATTATGGATTTCATGAATTTTGCTGTTCGTTCTTCTGTCAACGGTCTTAGCGGGGGCTGTTTTTTTTCAAATTTATCGAGACCCAGAAATAGCCTTTGGGCTGATTAAAGACCCATTGCCACTTACCGTGATGCACCGCGGTCACATATGAATTTCGTGGTCCATGAAATTCAAAGATTCATATATTGAATAATAACTTCATATTAAATCCTTTTCCGACATAGCACTAAGGCACAATAATAATTCTTTTACATTCTTTTAAGAGTTTATTCAAAAGGTTAGAATTGTTTTTTCAGTGGTGACAAGATTCAAAATGTAAACAAATTGTGATGCATCACGGTAAGTGRCAATGGGTCTTTAAATCAGAACACGACTACCTCGCAGATCGAATTGGAATTTAGCGTCTTAGCTTTTACGGAGGAAGCTTAAGGACATCCTCTACAAATTTAGACAAATTTATTTATTAGGTGTTGCGACTGTTGATTAATTCGGAGGGAGTAAAATCAGAAAACCCGAATTCGAAGAAAAATTCTTTAAGCATAGGACATAACCAACTCACATCTCGAACTGCTCGCTTATGTCACACCAAGTTTGGAAAACGGGCCTGAGCGGAGAAGATCGCTCGAGACGTTACGCCGCTACCCGTGCCGTACCACGTAATTACTTAGTGTTATCTTATTATTTTAAAAAAACTTGTAATCGCTAGTCACCACCACAGCAGTGGCCCAGCTCAACGGGGTTGAACTGAAAGCATGTGATGACGCCTCTGGCAGCCGCTATACAGTCCATGTATGATCACGGAGCACAGCTCTAATCAATTTGAATTAGTTGAATTACGCCACCTGCTATCATAACATTGAGTTGTGCACGTTGATCCCGATTAACCTTTTTGTTCTTCTTGTTCCTTTCGACAGATCGCAATAGTTGGAGAGATAGGTGGAGCAACAACAGGAGACATAGCAATAGATGATATCTCCTTTACTGATGGTCAATGCAAATATTTACTGGAGACAGTACTGGATGATATACTACCGGTACCAAAGACCGACAGACCATATGAAGGTAATGATATGACCTCTAGAAGGTAAGGCTTCAGTCCCTTACGATATGAAACCAGGCATTGGCATTTGAATCATTGACAAAAAAATGTGAACGTTATATAGACGGATGGCGTAACGAGAGAGGTGCATCGTTTTTAGCATAGTCCAAGAAAAATCCTATTGGAATTGATTTTGAATTATTGACTGAAAACCCACGTCAACCAATGAATTCTAGTTGCGAATCGATCTTAGTTCACAATAATGAGAGCCAAATTCCTCCCATTAGTACGCAACCCCGGCCATTCTCCCTGATCATGTTATATATATAAATATTTTTTTCTTAACAGATCGTCCAGAAAACTGCACATTCGATGACAATCATATGTGCCGGTGGGTAAATGACCAAGATGACATGTTTGATTGGATATTATGGAAGAAAGGAACACCTTCACGACTAACAGGACCCTCCTCTGATCATGGGGGGAAAGGTAAATCATTACTTGCATATCTCGAGGATCTTTTTCTCTCTTCATTGGCGTATCCTGGCTAGGACGATCCATAAGGGGTTCCTCTCTTCACTAACCTCAACATATCATCCCTACATCACTCTATCCTCGATGATCTGTTTCTCTCTTCAGGAGCGTATCCTGGCCGGGACGTTCCATAAGGGGTTCCTCTTTCACTAACCTCAACATATCGTCCCTACATCACTCTATCCTCGATGATGTTTCTCCAAGTCTTCAGGGGCGAATCCTATGGCCAGGACGTTCCATAAAGGGTTCCTCTCTTCACTAACACCAACATTCATCCCTACATCACGCTATCCTCCCCAAAACACATGGACGGTATCAATCAACTACCAATGCAAAAAGGAATCAGATAAACCCTGCAGGATCCCCTGGGTTGTCTATATTTTATTAGGACCTTTTTTCTTATCCTTTTTTCTTTTTCCTTTTTTTTTTCTTTTTTTCTTTTTTTCTTTTTTT